CCCTCTCAGAAGCGAAGGGTCCATTGTCCAGAAAGATCCAGTGCTGGAGCCCATTTACCATAAATGGCCCAGTTCCGAAACTCTTCCATCAAACCTGCCCTGCCAGCACTTCGAACACCAGCCTGCTCCCCATCACCCCTGAAACTCGCCTGAGCCCTGGATCTGAGCTCTGCCTCCTCCTTGCAGGTCAATTTAGCAATAAACGCTTCTTCTCCTTTTTTTTTCTCAAAAGCCCATGTCATAGCCTTGGCTCCTACGCACACATAGGGCTGCAGGCCCTCGCTCCATAGCAGGAGCAAGAGCAATAAATAAATGTGCCTCTTGCTACCTTAATGAGGTGACTTTTGAAAACACCTAAGGTTGAGGGCTGGTTGCATAGAGCCACCATGTGATTGGAGGCTGGAACGTAACCCCACCACACCAGCTTCCTGGGGGAGGAGCTGGAGAGTGTGTTCACTCACCAATGCTCAGTGATTTCATCAGCAGGGCCTGTGTGCTGAAGCCTCCACAAAACCCACCAGGATGGGGTCAGAGAGCGTCCGGGCGGTGAACTCAGGAGGATTTGTGGGGAGTGGCCCCTCGGGGGGCATGGAAGCTCCAGGCCTTTTGCACATACCTTGCCCTGCGCGTCCCTTCCACCAGCTGTTCCTGAGTTATACTACACTGGTCATCCACAGTTATATGTTTCTCTGAGTGCTGTCAGCCATTCTAGTGATTAGCCAAAGCCAAGGAGGGACGGTCGTTGGAGCCTTCAGTCTACAGCCAGGGAGTCACAAGCACAGGTGATAGAGCCCAGGCCCTGGGACCTTTCAGTTCGCAGGCCGATGCTCTAACCACTGAGCAAAATCGGCCAGGGCTCAGAATAATTTTTTAATGATTTTCCTAAATCCCCAAACTTAGAGATCTCTTCATTTCTTCATCTTCACCGTACCTCATCGAATAGACATGACCTTGAATGATATCACCTTTCACACATAATCTCTAATTTGGCACTTCCCTTCAAAAGCAAGCGTTAAGGCTAACATTTTGCTGATTCGGCCACTGTAAAGATTTCCACCTTTGCTTCAATTATATTATCACTTGTCTCAGCAAAAGACTTTTGTTGCCCAGTCATTTTTAAAGAACAATAAGGTCAAATTGCAAAAAAGATAAGCAAGTGCTTGCAAAAACCACAGGCTGCATGGAAGTGTCTTTCTCCCAGGCTGGGTGCAGAAGGCGCCCGGCCCCGCCCCCTCCAGCAGTTGCTGTAAGTGAGGTGCCTCCACCTGGATATCCCCGGGCACTGGGTGGGGGTTCCACACTCAGGAGAAGCACCACCTCGCTAAGTATTTTAAAGCCCGTGATATTGCCACTTATAATAAGAAATATACATTTTGTCATTGTCCCTTTTCTGGCACAGAGCTCCTAAAACTCTTGGAATTTCCTAAGTCCTAAGCGTATAACTGCAGAACCAGCTCAAACTGGTCCTTGTTTCTAACAAGGTACTAAGTTGCTTTTCAGAGACAACAGACCAAAACTGCAAGTCATGCGATCCAAGTCTGCAAAAAGGAGAGAACTTTGACCTCCAGTTGCACCCAGGACAAAAGCGC